GTATAAGACCGCTGGTCTTAATAAAGCTTTATGTGTATGTGCTATCTGGCGATTCCTCCTCTTGCAGAGCATATGTCTCCAGAAACGAAGGGATACAATACGGCAGAGAGAAAGAGAGAAAGTTGGCCAGCCGATCTACACACCGTGACAGCGGTGCACGGATAACCGCCCAAGCGTTCAGCGCTCGTTCAGTCAGCCGTGTCCCTTGAGGTCGTGTTGTCAGAGGGCTGTTTGGCGTTCACACCTTTCACACCCCACTGACGTAACTTGGGAGTGATAATTCATTTTAGCCTATTTAATTTTACATGTAACTTTCTTTTAACCGTCGAGGTATGGGTTGAAAGTGAAGAATTATATAACCAATAGTAAAGCTTGCTCTCTCTTATATAATATAGAGATAAAATTTCGTCATAGAGGGATTTCTCCCAGTATAGCGTTTAATCAATATCTTTATAATATATATCTTATATAAAGAAAAGAGATTTTCTGCTTGTATTTAATTATCTTGAGGATTATACTATGTTAATACAGTCGTGGAAAAGAATATAAAATTAGTTATCAAAAATAGCTTTAATTGAGCTTATGGGATATATAAAAACATAATAAAAGTAAAAGTACTGCCTGGCTTAAGGCGTAAGAATAAAAAAAATGAAAAGCTTATTTACATAATGTACAAAAGGTTTGAGCCGGCCAACGTGAAACAACAACAATCGGTTTTATATAGGGTAAGCGTGACCTCTGGCGGTCGATTTAACAGAGTATTTGAATCGATTAAATATAATTTTAAATAAAATAATACTTTAATATAACATAATTTTAAATAAAATATTTTAATATAACATATATCATATTAGAATATGATTATCTCTGATGACATCAGCGTACATATAATCGGATTACAAACTATAATAATCACACAAGGAAATAACCTATGAAATCTAAGGGGAATTCTCTAATGGAAGTTAAGTTTAATGATTTCTATAAACCTGTTATATCAAAAGTAAAGAAGGGAAAAAGGTTTTGGTTGGAAAAAATTGGTTAAATTATAATATCAGTTTAATTAAAGATGTAATTCTGTATTTAATCTTTGCTATATAATTGACCATAGATGTTTATATTACGATGCACTAGCGCGCCAACTGTTATGAAAATTAGAAACTATTTTAGACGCGTAAGATTCTTTTTTGAAATTAAACAATTTCTACTGCCCTTACTGCAATGGAAAAAATAATGGGAGGGCCTAGCTCATCAGTGGTAAACCCTCCCAGCGGTTTCGCCAGTTCAGTGATTAAATTTCAAAACGAATCTTAGGCGTCTAAAATAGTTTATAATTATCATGACCATAGATGTGTATATAGAAAGTATATATGTATATAAGCATATGTATATATAGAAACTCTTTATAACATAAAACTATTCTCTAATGAACAATGTAATGTGCTCTCTAATAAGAAATTTTCGCCTTCTTTAATAAAAACTCTATAAATATAATCATTTAAAAAACACCTATTTTTCGGTTTCCATCAAAGAAAACTCTTGGGGATAAAAAACTTTCTATAAAAATATTCAATGTTTCCAACGAAAACTATGTAAAACGAAACTCTCTGTAACAAACTATGTATCCATAACGGACAGAGTTTATTACCCTCCATTAAACCTCTATAATGACACTATTACAAACATTCTATAATTTCAAAACTTAAGCTACATTCTATTAAACTTTTCTCAGACGAAACACTTATTTCTGGTTTTAATTAAACTTTTTATAACGAAAAATATGTTCTCACAATGAGTTTCTTTTAGTTACAAAACACTAGCTTTCAAGTGATTATCGCTTGAAAGCTAGTGTTTTGTAATAAAAAGAAACTCATTGTGAAAAAATATTTAGTAATTTTAAAACTTTTTTCACAATTTTATCATGAATAAAACTTTTTTTAACGAAAAATATGGGGGTTGGTGGATGAGTGGTCAAACCTGGTTTTCGACTGCTACGACTCGAGGTCGAATCCTGTATTGGGACACTTTTTTCTAATAAAAAAAAAAACTCCAATGGCCACTGATTCTTGCAAAATTCCAACCCTACCAGCGAGTGCAAATAACCAAACGGAGCTCTGGCAGTCTTGTAAGTGCGAAAGTCGAACTTCTTTTCACAGTTATCATGGCCTGTACCGCATGTACTAGGGATACTTTTTAAAAATAACGAAAAACCCTCTCCATAAAGAATAAAAAAATAGTCACTTCGATATCGTTTTATACAGATAATATTTCCACTATATATATATTTATAACGATTTTCATTGTCCAATGATTTTCACAAGTGTATCCAAAACCTTTCCGAATTGCACCAAATGTCAGGATTCTCCAGTGAGCCCAGAACACATCATGTAATACATCGGGCATTGCCGAACAGACATTTACACCGACCCAGCTGTGGTCATCGAGGTGATAAAGAGGCCTTCAGGATCTGGTCTAGACTTGAGGTCTAGGACAAAGAAAAAAAAGATTGCTAAAACTATGGTGAATTACCTGGCAAAACCACTGGTACTACTTCCTTACTGGTGTGTTGTGTGTGATTAAGACCATCCTGAAATTTTAAAAATACCCCAAGGAGAATCCTCTTTAAGACCTGTGTGTCTTAATAAAGTTTTTTGTGTGTGTGTGCGATATTTTAAAAATTGTCTATAACATCTTATAGGAGATTTTGGCTTCTTTATACAGTATAACTACCTCCCTGTAAAGGACAACACCTAATTACAGAGCCAAAGTGTCCTTTAGGGAGAGATGTCCTCTTACCAGAGAGTTGCTAAATTTTAAAAATGGTAATTTTGCAAATGAAAACTGTCCTTTGTGGAGAGGTGTCCGCTAAAGGGAGGTTCTGCTGTATATATATTTAAGACATTAGAAGCCTAGATAAAATCATTATTCACTCTATATTTAGATATATGTAACTAAAGAGGGGTTTATTTAATTATGCAACTTTTGATGCATAATTAAAGGAAGAGCTACCCCTCTAGGTACATGAATAATATCCTAAACTATATAAATATATAGATCAATAAACTCTTCAAACTTTAAAACTAAATATTTTATTTTCTTCTCTCTGTTTAAAAAAAGGGGGTTTTCTGTATTAAAATTCTCCCGTTTTTCTCTACTCAAAGTAATATAATCTTGGAGAGAAAATTTTAAAAAAATTCTACCAGTTCTCATAATATTAATAGAGAAAAAAACTCGAGAAATAAATTTGATTTGGGGGAAGTTAAAGGAAACTGCTACAAAATGGCTCCAGGGGTACGAACAAAAATATTTGCAGACGTCATCATCTACAATTTCTTCTCCACACGTAGCATTAAAATATGAAATATACATTTTTATATACATGTTTTTTCTTCATATCTTTTATAAATATTTGTACATATAATTCTCTATAGAGTATGTATATATATTATAAAATAAATAAAGCTTCCAAGGTTAAGTTTCTTGTGCAACTTTTTATTTTCAAGCTTTCGGACTTGTCAGTCCTTCAACAGGAGTACTCCGACAAGACCGAAAGCTTGAAAATAAAAGGTTTGCAACAAGAAACTTAGACCTGGAAGCTTTATTTATTTTATAATATTATAAATCAGGTAAGATAATGTTTATTTATGCAAGGTGGTAAATGCAAGGTTTTATAAGTAAAACAATCCTATACAATAGTAGAGCGTGGTCTGGAGAATGATTTGGCGAAATCGCTGAGAGGGTTCACCACTGAAGAGCTAAGCCCTCTCATCTAATAATTTCTATCATTGTAGTAATGGGGATCAGAATAAAGAAATGATATTTGAAAGTATATATAGCACAAGAGAGAAAAATATATATTTCTAAAAACAATTGCTAAATTTACCGATTGATGACAATCGTAATCATACTTGAATGACAGGAGAAGAGAACCAGCAAGTTGAAATATCTTGTCCAGCACTTTCAAAATGGTTAACGGTATCACACTGGAGAAATGTATGGAGGGCAGACTAGGATGAGCACAATGCTGAGAATGGAATTTGCTTAACGGATGAAGACATTAAGACGCGAATGTTTCTTTTCACAAATAAATCAAACTTCTACTATCCTTACTGCGATGAAAACATATAGGGAGGACTTGGCTCATCAGTGGTGAACCCTCCCAAAGGTTTCGCCAATTTAATCTACCAGACCGCTTCTTTAGAGCTGCAATAATGTATTGAATCATTCTGCTTTTATATGCTTTCATCGCAGTAAGTACAGTAGAAGTTTGATTTATTTGTGAAAATAAACACTCGCGTCTTAATGTCTTCATCCGTTGTATATAGATGGCACATTATTGCTTTGTATTAATGGAATTTATTAATAATTTCTGGATAAAGCCTTATAAAATACTATAAAAGACCATAAAAAGGAATCTCTAAGAGGACAATAATACAGACAATTACCAACCTATAAGTTAATTAAGTATAAATTAATTATTACTTTACACACAAAACGAGATATACATTTTTATTTAAATAAATAAATAAAAATCTCCTAAAAATCCAAGCAGTTAAAACCATACAAAAGGTAAATGTTTAAGTAAATTGAAGGGAGGAATAGATAAAGGAAATATTGAACAATACAGAAAGAGATCTCCTAGAGACCTCGTAATTAAAAGAAAAAGGTTACCATGGCAACGTCCGCAGTGAAGATTTCCTAATAAAAGGAACAAATGTTTCGATGATTTCCTCCCTCCCCCCACATTGAGAAATTGTTTCGACAATCGGCGTTTATTAAAACATTTATTGCGGTGTTCATTGGTATCTTTTAGAATGGTAAATGCAGTGGAGAAACTCTCTCTCTCTAATTACATGGAAATTTGTTTGTTAGAGAGATTGAGATTGAAGCTGATTTATTACAAAGTCCATATAAGATTAATATAATTGCCTTATTCTGTCTGTGTGAAGTTCACTGTGTGAAGTTCACGGATAGATTTTGGTCAGAATGGATAAAATAAAAAAAGTGTCAAGGGATGGGAATCGAACCCACGACCTTCCGCTTACCGGGCAGATGCCATGGCCACTAGGCCACATGACCACAATTTATAATTGTAACAAATAGTATTTGAATCAAAACATTCAATCGGGTAAAACACGGGCGTTGCCCGGGTCATTCGGCTAGTAAGATTATATGAGGTTCATTACAAAATTGAATAAATACGAATATAAATAAAATTATATAATGATATAAATATAGAATAAATAGATATAAAAAATAATTGATAAATATACATAAATATATACAAGGTCTTCATTGGTGTCGCCCACCGCGGGAAAGACTCCGCCACCGATGGACTGAGATTGAGATTGAAATTGATTTATTACAACGTCCATATAAGATTATCAAAAATAAAAATGGCATATCCTGACCAGGAGCACATGTGCTTTACAGAAGGCAGAGCGCCATCTGGTGGAACAGAAATCAACTAAACATTGATTTAGCCTGTTCCCTGATATTTGGCCAACTCAATTTATCTTTTATTTTTTCTTTCGTTTTTTCATATAAGATTATAAATGGTTAAATACAGAATAAATATAAATATGAATTAAATAAGAGAGAGAGAGAGTTTTATAAAGATTTTCATTTGAAAGGAATGACAAATCTCTTCACGCTAATACTGTAGATACTTATCCGTTATAGAGCATGTCGTTTAAAACGATTAACCAATCGTTATAAAGAGTTTAAGTATATTTTTGGCCGTGATATTAATTTATGAAGAAAAGTTAACAGTCGAAAGTTTGACGCTTTTTAATAAAAGAAACATAATACAGTTAAACCTGTCTATAGCGTCCCCTCTTGGGACTCACCAAAATAGGGTGATATAGAGAGAGGGTGCTATAGACATGTCACTTTTAATGTAAATCGCATCATACTATGCATTTAAAATCGGGCGCTATTTAGAGGGGGCGCTATAGACAGGTTTAACTGTAATTTATCGTTTTACTTTTATATGTAACTAATATTATCTGTATTTTATAGTAATGAGATGAATATTTTTAAAATATGGGGAAACAACACACGGCATGGATATCATATATAAAACTGTACTGTATTTTGGAGATAACACTTATGTAAATACACATTTTATAAAATATTAATATATAAACGTTATGGATTTCCTTTCCTCCAATTCCTCCCAGACTAATCTATTAGTTTGATTGTCTTTATATAATTTTTTCTTGTATATAAATATCAAATTACTATTAAGGCACTATTACTTTTTTCCTGCATGTATCCTATATTTCTGCTTGGAGAATCTGTATAAGACTTAAAGGTCTTAATAAAACTTTTTGTTGTTGTAAAGGGTATGGTAGATTAAACTGGTGAAACCGCTGGGAGGGTTCACCACTGATGAGCCAAACCCTCCCATTAATTTTTCCATTGCAGTAAGGACAGTAGAAATTGTTTAATTTTTAAAAGAATCATACGCGTCTATAATAGTTTCGAATTTTCATAACAGATGGCGCGCTTAATGCATCATAATATAAACTCTATGATTTTTTGCCGTTTATTTAGGGGGGATCCTAACAATTAATTAGAAGATAATTAATGACAAAAACGGTTTTGAAATATGGCAAAGAGAGAAAAGCAATAATTCATTTAAAATTAATTTAAAAGATTGAGGAAAAGAGGATTAACTTTTCAGGAAAGGAGAGAATTTGTGTATAAACAAGGATTTGTGGTTTTCTTTGTTTGATTTGTTTGGTTAGAGATCTAAGCGACTGTTTTTTAAAACATTTTTATTATCATTTTGTTGGTTGGAGATATTAATACCCACGCCGATTTAGACAATCATTATTTCAATTTTAGAATAGTTGTTGTTGTTGTCGTGTCCAATGAAGAGCCTCAGATGTCTCCATACTATTACAGCAGTCGCAATGTCTTCTATCTTGGGTGTGTAAAGCTGCTGTCATGGGTCCATATCATTGTATTTAATCAATATATTGTGCTTCTGACGTGTATTAATATTTAATAAATATTCTATAATTCTGAATATTTTAGTTAAATATAGTATTTATTCAATGATTGTAAAATGAATAAATATAATCGCAATACTTTTTTGGTCACAATCCTTTTGTTTACTGATATATATAGAAATTATAGTTTGTGGTTCTCTCACTTTGCCATTTTTAAATATGGAATCCGTTATAATTAATGTGATAATCATATTTTAATATAAAAAAAATAGAGTTGTGGGAGGATGGTATATTCTTATTACCATCTTCATGCAATTTCAAGTTTTATTCTAGCCTGAAAATCGGTCCTGGCCACTTCACCAGCTTATAAACATCTTTTTGGTAAATTCGACCGATCTCATAGATCTTCTCGAAGGATGGAATATAATAGCCAGGAGAGGGACAAGCAGAGACCAGAATAAGTCTCCAACTCCATCATGATATTGAGGAAGACACTGACATATCCTTAAAGTTGGAATCTGCTTCTAAACCTGAGCAGGTACCTCCTGGGTGGCGTGGAAACACTTTCCGAAAAAAAATCATAACCCGATCTGGTGATGCATGGTCTTCTTGAAATTAAAAATATAACATGAATTTTCAAAGACATTCAAATAAAAAAATGCCACAAATCTTTACAACCTCTCATATACACTTGGGGTGTCGAGTGTGGGTCATTTTGACTTACTATCAGGTCAACTGAATATGGATGCTGAAGGGAAAATAGGATCCATCGCATTATTTTTCCCATGGAAACTCTCAATAAATGAACCAATGAACCCACAGGGCAGACCAGACTATAGCTATAGATCGACTTGAAGATGGCACATCAGTTTTGAGCCTGATTCGCCTGAAATAAACCTAAATAATCTAATAGACTAAATGTAAGATTCTCCTTACAAAATTGCCTTTTAAAAGAAGCGACACAAATTGATTTAATAATAAAATATAAATAACTTTATAATCTTGATGTGTTCTCTGTTAACTCAGCATGTAATGTAATTGAATTTTGACTTATTTAATATAGTAATAATAACACAGAGGGGAGCTATGTAATTACATTCACTTCAGTATATTACATATTTACATATTAGCTTTCTCTCTTTTAATATAAACAGAGTTATATGATTGGTTGATTGAAGAACATTAGTTTGTTAAATTACAATTTTCCATTATAGATTTGAAATGATTTGATATCTTATTTAAATTAATATTTTAAACATTAAAAACACCATTATAGATATAGCTTTGTAAATCTATATAATATAATTATGATATGGAATTTTATTTTATTTATCACAAGCTTTCTCGGTAAATTCTATTTATCAAGTATTTACAGATAACTATATACAGTGTATGTTAAGTGTGCAAAATATAAGGTCCCTATCCCTTTCAATAAATACATTTATCAACTATATTAAAACTGTTGACGTGGTTTATTCAATTGGAGATTGCTGTGCGGAAAATATTAAACATTTATTGTTCAATTGACATTATTATATACTCATGGACAAAAATTAAGAAAGTGGAAAGTCTTTGATGTCGCCTGCTTTTTTTTTTTTTTTTTTTGAAGGAGACAGAGGCAATTTTATTCACGCTTGGTTATCATATACGCCTTCAATAACGGTCACTGTGCCTCAAATATCTTTTAGAGTTATTGTCTTAATCTCAATATACATTTTAAAAAGCACAACTTTCTTAAGTTTTGTCCATGAGTGTATATGTATGTAGCATTGGTATGATATAAAAATTCACAGAATATTAAGAGTGGTTCTACTCTGTAACTAATAGGAAGAGAAATGAGATCATGGGGGGCATTTGGTTAAGAATTCATTAATCAATTTTCAATCGTAAAAATTCCAAATAGAGGAATGATATTTATATATCATATATTTACTATAAACTGAAAGTTTTCCGCAACAACTTCTCTGAAACTGCGAATAAGTGTGGACGTCATATTTGTAATGGTAAGTGCAATTTCTAGGTCAACTTATCGTATGTTTTGCAATCCATTTTGAACCTTGAAATTGTCTTATATAAAATTACAATGAATGAAGCAATACGAGTCCTCATTAATATAATGGCGCCTATATATATTAATCTAGGTTGGTAGAACACTCAGCACAAACCCGGGCGAAGCCATTTCGTCCTTCTAGTATACCTCCATCTATCCAAATATTACTGCCATATACAAGTACAGTTAAACCTGTCTATAGCGCCCCCTTTTGGGACTCACCAAATAGGGTGCTATAGAGAGGGGCTGCTATAGACAGGTCACTTTTAATGTAAATCGCATCGTACTAGGTATTTAAAATGAGCGCTATAGAGAGAAAGGCGCTATTTAGAGGGGGCGCTATAGATAGGTTTAACTGTACAAATATTACTGCCATATAATATATATTCACCCATATTCTAGTTTTTACTGATCCTGGGAAACTATAAGAACATTCTTTGACACACACAACGTCTGGTAACCCTACTAACATATACATCATAGAATAAATAAAATATTTTATTTGACCATCAAGGGAACGACTACTTCATTATTCAACACACACGGGTAAATATATAAACTACTTTATAAATACAGGGTGATCCAAAAGTCCCGCACAACTTTAAAAATTAACAACTCCGCGAATATTTGCGCTAGAGCAATGCGGTAAACACCATTGTGTTCAGGATGCAATGGGATTTTTTATGGCAAATAATGAAAAATTCGAAATTGATTTTAGTTACAATTTTATTCGCCAGATGGCGCTCTACCAGAATCAGAGATTCAGCGGCCAAATTGTTTGATAAATTGAAAAATATAACTGATCGACACGTATTTTTCCTTTTTGAATACCAGGAAAGAACCCTAATAATATCAAATAATAAATTAATAAAACACCACTTCGCCAAAAGTATGAAGAATTGGTTAACGATTTTCAAATACAATCAGAGATATGTAAAATAGGTAAATGCAAATTAAAACATGTAGCAAAAATATTTATATTTTATATGGGGTTTTGTGAAATAGATTGAATGTTTGAAAAACACTGCTGATATCAATACACGAATTTTTGAAATGTTAATATAGTACCA